TCATGTTTATGGAAAAGATAAATTTGCTCTTCATAGAATGCACCTCAAACCAATCTCACAACACATAGCGGGCCGGCTTGCATTGGGAACATCTTCTTCCTATGACGATAAAATAAAGTATGGGAGATATTTTCAATTGACGGCTGAAAGAGCAGTGAAATTGGTGAGGCACACCTTTGCAAGGAGAAAATCCGGATTCATTCAGAAAACGAAGATTCGACGAAAGTCTCTACCTCAAGCCCACCCGAGTCATTCTTGTGTTGAAGCTCTTGAAAGAATAAAAGGAGAAAAGAAAAGAAATTAAAAATGATGAAATTGACGTGATCAGATTGAAATTAGAGCAGAGACCACCACACAATTTGATGCCGGCCGGCCGTCTACATCCGTCGCTTTCCGCCCCGTTCATCAGTCTTATAGAATACATAAAGCTTGCGGAAAATCAATTCCCAAAGCAGATTTTAAAAGGAAGAATTATTACGTAAGACTTTCTGTTAAGTTGTTAAGTGCCAATGGCAGGCAGATGGGCAGGAAAAAAAAAAAAAAAGAAAGAAAAAACCCGTATCAGCGTTCCTAACATAAGGCATGTGGAGACTGATTTGGAGGACTCACATGCAGACTGCCATTACTGTGGTCATTTGACTTTCCTCTCTGATATATATTTTTATGTTCTTGCATATATACGGAATGCACATGCATATCGCTCAACTAATTAATTAAAGTTTTTTCCGTCTAAACTTGTCTTCTCCTTGCGCGTAGATCACACCATCCACACAAATTTAAAATTTCGATATGATACGTTATCATATAACCTTATCATATTGGTGGCTTAATAATACTTCCTCCAAATGTCATATCGGGATCTGAACTGATTCAGGGAGTTGATCAATTTTAAATCAATTCTTCTGTTTCAATTTAGATCTAATGCAAATTTTTGACCCTCTATTCCATACATTAATGTCTGTCCATAAATTAACATCAATTTCAAATTAGCACTCACCCCAACTGTATTTTGGGCCTAAAAATTCTGACCTTGAGCTGAACCGTCATTCTATCAATAAAAAAAAGAAAACGAGATTTCATACAGGCCGATAGGCAATATTTTAAACCTTGATGAATGCAGATAAAAAAAGAGGTGCAACATGCAAGGACACTGCCTCTATTGCTACTATATGATCGGCATGAGAATCCTTTGATAACACCAATGAACAATAGGTTTTTCTCTCGCAGCAGCAGTAGCATGCGTCTCTCCAACTACTCTTTAGCTGCTTAATTAACCCAACACTACTCTCTCACGAGTTGAGAGGTCTTTGATAAACATCTATTTTATACCATAAAGTTGATGTTGATATTTGCCTTGGGTTTCGGTAAATACCATGCATATGCTATATTTGATTAATACTTATTTGTATATCTAACACAATGCTCTTATGATAGATTTTATAAAGTTTTTTTTGGTAAATAAACATTTCTATCAACTCTGCTTCCTTCTTCTCCATTAGCACAGAAAATATTTTAGGATTATTTAATAAAACACCACTTATAGTTTTATAGATTTATTAAAACCTACCATATAGTTTATGTTTTACTAAAACACCCCCAATAGTTTATAATTGATTTACTTAATTAATCTTCTATTTGAATAAATTTAATCAAAAGAAAATAAAAATGAAAATACCATTCTTGCCTCTAATAAGATATGAGAAATCACTTTGTTTGGCTCTATTTGGTCAATTTTGTATTTTATACAAAGTAATGTTAGGGGTAATTTTGAAATAAACACTCATAGGCCCATGCCCTTGAACATTTTCCATTTGGTTTACATGTTCATGTTACTATTTTTCAGGTGGCAAAACAAACATTTCTTAGTGAAAGGTCAATTAAGTAAATAGGTTGCAAATTATAAGGGGTATTTTAATAAACTAAAAACTATAGGGTAGGTTTAAGTAAATCCGTAAAACTATAAGGGGTGTTCTAGTAAATGATCCAATATTTTACATAAACATTGTCAAAAGCCACATGAAATTTTATATATCTCCAAAGATCCCTTGTCAAGTTGTCATAAGGTTCTAAATTCATATTCTTCCCCATTTTTATCGTTCTTTCTTTTACAAGTATCCTTCCTAACTCATGGTTTTTCAAAGTTTTATGTGTTGATCAGCTATTGTGGAGATCAATAATGCTAAGAGCATCAAGACAAGAATGATATTGTGTGGAACAACTTCGAAGAACAACAAAGAAACTAGAGAACACACAAGTTTTATAAAGGTTCTACAAAACCTAGCCTACGTCCTCTTCCAAGGAAACTATTTGATAATTTCCACTATAGCAGTTGGTTTTCTTAGGTGCCGGTAAAACCTTTACAACAATTGCACTTCCCAGGTTCAATAAGACCTCATTGAGATTTGAAAATGTTTTATATGTATATGAAAAAATTTATTTTTTAACAATTGCCTCCGGGGTCAAATAAAATTTGACTTCTTAAATTAGGTTTTTTTCATGGTTTTGAAAGGCCTGAGAGGTGATGCTAGAGCTAGAGCTGTGCCCCCACTAATCAAAGGTGTTGGATTCGCCATTAGACTTACGGGTGCTATCCCAATCTCTACAACACGCCTAACGGACTCAACATTCTTGGATAGTCTTATAGGTCATATCCAGAACTTTCATTGTGTTCTATCTCAGAACATGCAACTAGAAAACCAATAGTTATACAATCCCAAATATGATATGACAATGTAAGAACAAAGAAATGCAATGCCTCTTATTAGGTTGATATAGCGGTTTAAACAAAACTATCTCAATATACAAGAAGACACCGAATCTGGAGCTAAATGGGGTTTACACTTACCCATGTTTTCCTCTTGTTTTTCTTAATAAACCCTTTGAATCCCGCATCTATTGCCTAAGTTCTTTTTATTCTCATAGGTTCTTATATCTAGAGCAATATAAACATTTTTAATCTATTAAAGATTGACCAAACCTTTATTGAAAAGTCCTAGAAATATTTTCCAAGAAGTTTTAAACCTTTTCCAAAGAGGAAAGATCCATTGTAGCTTAGGTGATCAAAAAAGAAATAACGTGAGAGTTTTCTACGTGAAGTAGTCAATTGCTTACCTTCCTAGACATTACTACCATTAGTAGTCAACTACTGCCTCACGGGTAGTTGACTACTAGGTGGCACTAGTCTTAACTAAGGGTGTCAATGGACCGATTTTGGATTGGACCCCGTTCAGTCCAAAATCAATTTGGACGGATTGGACGGACCAACAAGACATATTGGATTGGACTAATCTGGTCCAAAATATTTATTAGATTGGATTGGACTTGGTCCATCCGTAACAAATTTAAGTTGGATTAAGCCAATATCTGGTCCATTGATTTAAGATAAGAATATATGTGTCAATGGATCAGGTTTGGGTTGAAATCAATTTAAATCAAAATGAATTTGAGCAGATTGGACGGTCCAGACATTGAATTGGACCGGTCCAAAACATTCATTGGAGTGGATTGGACTTTGTTCATTTATAATGGACTCACATTAGGACTGGATCGGGTTGGACCAAATCCAGTCTAGTTGACACCCCTGGTCTCAATATGTCAAGGGTAGTCAAGTACTATTTCATGAATAGTTAACTATTGTTAGCATCCAACCTTGGAATTTCTGGGTAGACGACGACTCCTAGCCTATGGGAACCAACTCTTTAGGTTTCCAAGCCTAGAATTTTCATAATTAAGTTCAATATTGAGTCCAAAAAGAGCCTAAGAATCTTTTTTCTAGCTAAACAATTGGTTTCTAAGATTCAACATAACTAAGGTATGTTTGAGTTAAGACTAGGGATTGGAATTTTCCTCATCCTTGCTAGGTACACAACTTCCTTGACTTGATGGGGTCAAGGATGGAGATTATCATGAATGTGTACAGTTGGGCTAGGCTCAGGCCAGGTTCGGCCTATCTAAGGGCTAGGTCTGGGCTTAGCCCAAAAAATAAAAAAGTCCGACTTCTTGAATCCAAACCCAACACAAGTACTAACAATCTAAGTCCAGCCTGTGTAAAATTTCAGGTTAGACCCGCCCAAATTGCACCTCTAGCTACAACTTTAAACTCTTATTTTTTTTGTTGTTCATAAAGTTTGTATTGCTATTTTAGAAACCAGACACAAGAGTAGTTGAATGGATATTTTGAGCATTTTCATGCCTCTTTAAAAGATTATAACAAAGGAGGTCTACTTGCGATTGTATCAATTCAACGAAGGTAATTGTAATTAACAAACTTCAGCGGAAATTTAAGCAACATCCAAAAGTTTAAGGGAGGTTTCAGAAATTTACAAGAAAAGTGAAAAACCTCTGGTTGGATATTGAAAATAAATTATTCCACGTAACTAAAAACATGCCGTACGTCGGTAGACTCGGTACATGTAGCATACTTAACAGTAAAGTATGCTTTTTCCTTAGAAGCATTCGCGTGTGAAGCACCCTTTCTGCAGTGTGGCAAACGTGTACAACAACTGTTTAGTCAATTAATATCCTGCATCGGTATTTTCTTTGGGCGCCCCACAAACGGAACGGGATCTGCTCCCTACAAACGCCTTGATATCCCAACCGTATATTGATCACTGACAATTTCGGGAAATGTTCCATGGACGCTGAAATATGTTTGTTGAGCGCCCACTGATGTGATCTCAAAATTTAAAGGTGTAGAGATTAAACAATGATATGAGCGGTTTTTTATTTTGCCACGTGGCAAACCAGATACTCGTTATTTCAAAAAGAAGAAAAGTTCATAAAACAATTTTTATTTTGTTTTTTATTAATTATTATTTTTTAGTTCATGAACTATATCCCATCACCTGACCCATATGTCCATAACCCCCGACCGGATACAGCGGAATTTGATCCAAGTCTCTGCTACAACCAGTCAGACCTAGTTGGCACCGTTAAACTCTTTTTTTTTTTCTGAAAAATATTAATGAAGGACCAAACTCTATAAAATGCGCAAATGCACAGCATCCAAGCGGCCACTTCAAGTCCGAATTTTCCTCTCTCTCTCTCTCTGCATTTTCTTCTTGAAATTTGGATTATTTGTTTCTTTTACGCGTCCGTATGGGAGAAACTCTGCTTTCTCCGAGTTCGTCAGCCGGAAAATGGCTGGGATTCGTTACTGCCGTTTGGATTCAAGCCATCTCTGGAAACAACTACACCTTCTCCAACTACTCCGATGCTCTGAAATCCCTCATGGCTCTCACTCAACTGCAGCTTAATAATCTATCCGTCGCAAAAGATGTCGGAAAAGCTTTTGGTCTCCTCGCCGGTCTTGCTTCAGATCGTCTCCCCACTTCCGTATTATTGCTCATCGGATCTGTTGAAGGTTTTATAGGATATGGGGTTCAATGGCTCGTTATTAGCCAGCGAATCCGTCCTCTTCCTTACTGGCAGGCAAGCAACACCGACCCTGCGTTTCCTTTTTCCTAGACTCCTAGTTTTTCCTACTGCTTGTTTGTCAAATTTGGCGATTCAACTCCTGAGTCTAGACTCGGGCAGGTTGAATTGGTCTTGGGTTTAATTATTTCTTATTTTTCTTAAATTTTAACTGGTCAATCTTCAAAAAAATGGGTACTAATTCAGCAAGACTACACCGAAAAGTCAAATTAGCTTAATATGTAAGTTATCCGAGTTACTGAATTGACTCAGCCGATCCTGTGGAAGCCACACGGTTGGGTTCGTTCGAAAAATCGACTCACTTTTTGCTAGTTGAGGACGCTCATGAGTCAGACCAGAGCGAGCACTTCTGCTCGTTGAGGCGTTTTAACAAACAGTCGTATACTCATTGTGTAGCTCTATATTGCAGATGTGTATATTTCTGTGTATGGGAGGGAACAGCACCACATGGATGAACACGGCAGTGCTGGTGACTTGCATAAGAAACTTCCGGAAGAATAGAGGCCCCGTCTCCGGCATCCTTAAAGGCTACGTCGGCCTCAGCACCGCAATCTTCACCGATCTTTGCACCGCTCTCTTCTCTGCTGATCCTTCCACCTTCGTCCTCATGCTCTCCATAATCCCCGCCCTTGTTTGCTTCACAGGCATCCTCTTTCTCCGTGAGGTCCCACCGTCTTCCGGCTCCGCCCAAGAGAATGAAGAAAGTCATTATTTCAATATCTTCAATGTCATCGCCGTGATTATAGCTGTTTATCTCTTGGCCTTCGACGTTACAGGAAATCACGGCCGACTTCTTTCCGTCGCTTTTTCCATCGTACTTCTCATCCTGCTGGTTGCACCCTTGGCTATCCCGTTGTACTCTGTATTCCAGAACTGGGGACTGAATTCGAGATCCGGAGATCTTGAACATCAGATCAAAGAGCCGTTGTTGGTTCAAGGAACCGCACCAATTACACAGCAGCAGAAACCGCAGGAGAAGGTGGGGGAAGTGGAGATGAGGCCATCCCCGCCTGTGATCGGAGAAGAACACACGATCGTAGAAGCGATGAAGACCTTAGATTTCTGGATCTTGTTCGTGTCATTTCTTTGCGGTGTGGGTACGGGGTTGGCGGTAATGAACAACATGGGTCAGATGGGATTGGCGCTTGGGTACGCAGATGTCTCTATTTTCGTATCGCTCATTAGCATTTGGGGATTCTTCGGCCGTATCATTTCTGGTACCGCGTCGGAATACTTCATCAAGTACGTTTTTCGGTCCAATTCTTCTTCTTGCTTTCTGTTTGATTTTTTTTTTCGAAGACTTTAACTCTTACAATTGAGATCTGGTCCACACTTAGCGCACCTTAGAGTGAGGCGTGCTCTGTGAGAGCATATCCAGACTTAATATGAGTTCAAATCAGGCCCCCCCCCCCAACGAGATTGCCCCCACAATGTCCGACAGCACATCTCCGCATCATTTCTGAGATTATAAGAGAGTTCAGATCTGCGCCCCATATCATGTCTCATTTTAATGCACGGCGGGGATGTGGGTTTTGTTTTTGACATAACAAAAAAAACAGGTTGTTTAATATACAGAATTAACCATTTAATTAACTGTGGGCGGAAACCCAGGCCGTTCAGTTGGTTTGGGACTTGGACGGTTGTATTCATGGTTTTCAAAACCGGACCGGACTTGACAGTCGGACCCGAAAAACTGGGAACTGTTTTTTCCCAAAACCGTTGATTATGATCAGCAAACAGTTGAATCGGCCGATTAACCGTTCAGTTGGTTTTGGCTGTTTTTCAATTTTTTTTATTATTTTTATTTTTTTTGTCAGAACGGGCCAACTGTTTGAGTTGAACAGTCAGACCGTTTGAACCAGTAACCGGACCCTTGACTGATTCGGTCACCAGTTATCTGTGTAGACTATATTTAAAAAAAAAAAATCTAAAATCTGCTTTTTGAACTAATATTTTATTTATTTGTTTTCTTCTAAAGTTCAAAGTATTTTGGCATATCCTTAATTTGGTATTTTTGGCAACAAAGAATCAAAAGAATAGGCTCTGAACTTTATCGTTTTCCTTTGTCTGATTGGTAAGTAGGGGACATGGGACATTCAGACTTCTTATAGTCAATAAAGTCCACAAATATCTAGGAAGTGCTATATTTTCCCCAGCACTTTCATTCTTTCAACTGTGACAGGTAGTTCAGGAAAAGTGCGGCATATCTAGGAAGTGCAACGGGACCGTTCCATTGGCGATAAAAATGACCCTTCGTCTTCGATCCCAACGGGGATTAAGGGTGAATAAATGGGTAGATTTTACTTGGAATCAAATGGAACTGACCTTGAACTGGCCCTATCCGATTTGTCTGTTATAGGGTAGGGTTTGGTTTCAAATTCTTGGAATCAACCCTTACCCAAGTCGGTTCTAGGGTCTAGGGGTTTACCCTACCCAAACTGACCCGATGAACTGGCCTTAGTTGACCTTGGTGGAACCTGCTTTGGAACCAAACTTGTCTTGAAATAAGCCACAGAATACTTTCGAGGATGTGAAGATTTGAACCCAAGCACTCATAGTTACAAAGGCCATGGTCTCACTTGACATTTGAGTTACTTTAAGTGATTTGATCATTTGTTTTAATGTTAATATTTGAATGTATATAATAAGTAATGTAAAAGGTAATATTTACAAAATTTAAATTTAAATTATAAGTTTTGAACTATATAATGATAGTCTACATATTAACTTGCTCAATTTAATTAATAAAGATAATATAAGCTTTAAACTTATATATATCATATTTATTGAAAATCAAGTTTTTAAAGAACATTTTTTTTTCAATGGGGAGAGTAAACAAAGAACAAGTTCCACGGGTAGACCTTGAAATTGACCCCAGAACCTCCAAGGCCAGAATCAACCCTGAAATTGACCTTCATAGGGTAGGTTCCAGTTCCAAAAACCTAGAACCGACCCCTATAAGGTAGGTTCTAGGTTCTTCCATGGAACGGAACTGAACTGACCCATGCTCACCCCTAAACGTGATGTTGGGGACCAGAATCCTTGAAACTTATAAATTAGAATTATTTTTAAAAAATAGATTTACTTAAAAAAATAAAATATAAAAATATTTTAAATATATTTTGATATATAAAATATAAATAATATTATATATTTAATATATTAATGGAGTTCAGATCTCTTACCACAACAATCCTACCTAGAGGACTAGACTTGGCAAAAAGTTGACTCAACCCATGAACCTGACCCAACCCAACCCAAAAAAAAACAAGGTGAGGGTCTCATATTAATTTAGCTACCAAAAATTGGGTTGGGTTATGGGTTAACCCACTGACCCAATTGTCAGGTGTAATTGGGACTATTTATGCATGTTAAAGAGATCCTGGCAATGCTAATAGAACCATGTTAAAAATTGGGACTATTTATGGTCAACCCAAAGTGTCTTGACCCAACCCGAACCTGACCCACCCAACCCAATTGCCAGGTCTACATAGGACACTACAACCATACATCGAGAATATCTTCCGTGTTTATATGTTATTCATGGGGAGATATTCCTAATGTACAGCTGTAGTATCTTGTGGGTAGGTAGGAGATACAGATTCATATTAATGGGTCCGGGTGGGGTGAGGAATTCACTCCCATGATTCCATCCTTGCCCCATCTCTAAGTCGGGTATCACTATCAATCCCCATCCCCGCGCCCACACCCCCGATCCCCACCAAGGCAATGGAGAAGCCAGATTCCCAAAGGGGACGAAAAAGTTGCCATCCCTAGGCAGATCCCAGTTCGTTGATTTGTAGTTTGTATTACCAACTTAATCTGCTCAACTTCAAAGCGCTTATACCCAGTCATATGAGCTGGTATTGTACTAATTTCATTTTATGACGACTTAACTAATTGCAAGCTTGAAGTTGTTGAAATGTCTGTAACAAAGCTTCATTGAGTTGAGTTTTTTTATCATGCTGTTAATTGCAGGAAAGCTGCAACACCGAGGCCGCTATGGAATGCTGTTTCTCAGATTGTAATGGCTGTTGGATATGTACTCCTCGCCTTAGCATTGCCAGGATCTCTTTACATTGGTTCTATTATTGTTGGTCTATGCTATGGTGTCCGTCTTGCTATCACAGTTGCAACTGCATCTGAACTATTTGGCCTCAAATACTACGGTCTCATATACAATATCCTCATCCTGAATCTCCCTCTGGGTTCCTTCCTGTTCTCCGGCTTGCTTGCTGGTTTCTTGTACGATGCCGAAGCAACCAGCATAGCTGAAGGTGGCAATACGTGCATAGGCGCCCATTGCTACAGACTGGTGTTTGTGGTCATGGCTCTTGCTTGTGTATTGGGTTTTGGATTGGATGTGGTTCTGGCATTTAGAACGAAGAATGTTTATTCTAAGATTTATGCCAGCAAGAAGTCGAAGAAGCCAACCGTGGATCCATCATCTACTTGTAAATAAGACATTTGCTGATACAGTTTTTTTTTTTCTGGATTAGTAGTTGCAACAGAGCAGGAGGGTGATAGATAGTATCCTATTCTATAGCCTTCTATATGTTTAGTACACAAAAACTTGCCGATGAGACCTAGAATGTGAGGGTTTTTTTGTCCAGTCGCCTTGATCTTGGATCTTGGTATTGTTTGAACTTTCAAAATGATGGATAAAGATGTTGTTAAATGGCCCACCTGGTTAAGATTTTTCCAATGGTGGATCATGGATGATGCCGTTTTGTAGGATTTTTGCTGATGCAGAGTAGTGGTTGCAGCACACTGCTGCAAGTATATAGTGTCTTTGTAATCCTAGGCAGTATGGTTGTTGTCCTGTATTAATTATTAATAGTTTGATGCCATTCTTTTCTTCCAAAGAAACAATTTGTTTCAAGTTCTCTTGCTTTTGATGTTCTGGTTTCTATGGTTTGAGAATGGCAGCAAGATAGCCAGATTATTCCTCTGTACAAACAAGCCAAAGTTCATTGATTTATCAGAAAACAAGATATAAAATGTAACTGCCCAAGGATAATTAATCCTGTTCAGCTACTACAGATATCATTCAGTGTCCACTAATAGTCCATTAATTAAAATCTTGATCCTTTGAGCAATATAATGAGATTATTCAGGAACACACCCTCCCTCACAAATCACAATTAATCTTTCATGGGAAACCGATCTTCATTGTGGGATATGGCCGTTAATAGGACTGTCCACGAAATATCTATAATGTCTAGGTGAGTTTGTGGTAAAATATCTATAGGATTGTCTACGAAATATCTAATCCTATATAGTTCCTCCAGGCCCAACTTGGAGTTTTAAGAACTTTCTTCATAGGACAAGATGGGCTCATATCCATTTTTGTGTTTGAACTTGGAAGTAGTTTGGGGTTGAGATGCTAGAGATTGGTCTATATTTCAACATGCTAGAACATCCAAAGGTGTTAACAACATCTGATAACATATTTTCACCCAGGAAAGCAAACAAGCAGTGACCAACTGACCATACATATATGATGTATCGGATGCAAATGGAGATAATAGGTTGCAACTTGCAAGGAGTAGAGTTCATGGTAGAGGCGTAGAGCAAACCTTTTAAGACTTCCCGTTTGGATCTGCAATTTCTAAAGCCATTACTGGAAATTTGCCTTACCAGATGAACTCTTATTGGAAAGAAGATGACACCTTGGTGCTTAATTGAAGTGACGGACTGCCAATCCAATAGTTGTTGGTCATGGTTGTAACTTGTAACTCGGTCTGGGCTCAATTCAAATCCAACTGAACTAGGAACTGATGTTGGAATTAGGGGTGTTAATTGGACCAGATTTGGTCCACTATGATCCGATCCAATGTGAATCCTTTACAGGTGGACCAGGTCCAATCCAATCCAATGAATACTCTGGAGCATTTTGGACCAGTCCAATTCAATGTCTGGACTGTTTAATCTGTTCAAATTGGTTTTAATTTAGCTTGGTTCCAACCCAAATTTGGTCCGTTGACACATGTATTCTTATTTTCTGTTGATAGATCAGATATTGATTCCACCTGACCCAATTCAATATAAATCCATTACGGATGGACCTGGTCCAATCCAATCGAATAAATACTTTGGACTTGACTGGTCCAATTCAATATGTCTTATTAATAGGTCCAATCTGTCCAAATTGATTTTGATATGGACGGGTCCAACCCAAAACGTGTCCATTCACGCCCCTAGTTGTAATTGAGCAAGTGGGCTTGAACTGAAAATTCTAAGCTAACGTTGAGACAACCCGGCTCATAAATGAAGTGGAGGATTCAAAGCTATTTTGTTTTACTTCAGATGAGAGTTTAGACCAGGATCCATTTTCCACAAAGATAATCCCTGCATCTCACTTTTCATAAGGAATTCATAAATGAAATATGTTCCTCATACTCCTAGAATGCTAACACCTACCAAGGTTGAAGCATAGCACTTTTTTTTTCTTTGTCAGAAACGGTAACCAAAGAATTATTTTAAATAGATATTTATAAAACCTAAAGTTTTCGGTAATATTAACAGCTCCTTGTTCTTAGTTGGGGATTGGTTTGGGGCCTTTTCCTTGTTCTTAGCTTGAATTGATTGGGTGTACCTCGTCATTATAAATTTTTTATTCAGATTATACAACAAACCAAGTTTGCATCATTTGACATTAAGGCTGTGTTTGGAAGCAGTGTAAATACAAAACTCTATGGGTGGAAATAAAAAACGCTCAAATGTATCAGTGTAAAAAACAAACCGGCCGAATGCATGTTTTACACTCTTGTGTGTTTGGCAAAATAGTGTAAAATCATCAACGTACAAGTATATCTAGCAAGCATCCATGGAGACATCATCTCTAAATTGAACAAGTTAATAAACGATGTCGGGGTTGTCGTCATAGCAAGTGTTGAAGAAGCCATTTCAGGAACCATTGGAGACAAGAGAAGGGAGGAGGTTGAGCAGATTTTTCTGCTCATAACATAGCACAGATCGAATAAGTTCTACTTGTGGAATCTTAAAATTGAATTTTTTTGGGTGCCTGGTGGGGGATTAGAAGTAGATAGGTAGTGGGATCGATGGGACGATGAGATGCCTTGATCATTTGAGCGTCCTTATAGAGGAGAAGAAGGCGTTTGAACCTCGAACTTGGCACAATGAGAACAAATAGAGAGAGAGAGAGAGAGAGGATCATACGAGGATTGAATCAATGGCGGAAATAGGAGAGTTCCGGCGAAGATTGAAACCATGATGTTGAGGGTTATACGTTTCGCTTTTGTAGGTGTTTGGATAACACCCCATCCAAGTAAACATCAACTAGCAGAAACAAAACAAATTTCATCTTCGGATGGTTGCCGGAGCTGGTGATGAAGCTTCTGCCTCTGTTCTAGGGGTGCAAGTCGGGTTGGCCCGAGTTAACAGTTTACACTGTTTTGGGCTTGGGCTTCAGGTTGGGCCTATTGAAATTTTGACAAAATCCCAACCCTAACCCGGAAAAGTTGCACCCCTACTCTGTTCCCATGGAACTATTTCTGCTGAGCCGGTGATGGTTGCCATGGAGTTAGTTTCCATGGAAAACATAGGTGAGTTCAGATCTGCCGCTGCAATTGGTTGTAGCGATAGTGACGGAAAGAGAAAAAAAAAAGGGAGGAAGAAGAAGAGAAGGAGAAGAGAGAGAGTGCGAGCGAGCGAGAGAGAAGGAGAAGAAGAGAGAAGATAAGAGAGAGAGAGATGTAATAAATACATAAAAAATTTTGATGTATTTACTACATCGATTATTGATGTAATTCAACGGTAAAATTACATGTTTGCCCCGATTTTTTGTGTAACTTTACACCGATTTTCGATGTAAAATTAAATGTTTACCCCGGGTGTAAAGTTTACCCCGGTTCAATTTTACACCTCTACCAAAATCAGCCTAAGAGAAAATTAACATAAACCATAAAATGAAATGCAAATTCAAAACAAAACATCACGCCATTAAGAGAAAAATTAAAATACAAATTCAAAACAAAACATCGAAAAATTAAAATACAAATTCAAAACAAAACATCACACCATTCTGACTTCAAATTCAATTCCCCCCCAAACCGCCAACCTAGATAAAATGGCAATATCAAAATGGCAGAAACCCCATTGAAGTTTTTTATGTTTTTTCGCACACGATAATATGGCTTACTTTGTTGGGGGATTGAAATTTTATGCTGAAAAACAAAGCCACAACCAATTCTATTCATATTAAAAAAAGCAACCTCTGGGGTCTAAATAAATAGGCTTACAGCAAAACTAACATTAGCTAAAAATAAGCAATTAAACTAGAAAGTGGATAAACATGGTTCACTAACTCAAAAATAATGCCTAACAATTAGGAAGTAAATCACCCACTAAGTACCCACTAAATTTAAAGCACTATTCAACATTCCCACTAATTTTGAAGCACTATTCCACATTCGCACTAAGTTTGAAGCATTATTCAACATTCCCACCAAGTTTGAAGCACTATTCAACACTCCCCCTTTCTTCAAAACTTGTTACTCCCATCTGCAGTCTGAAGAACTCATGCTTGGCACGTGGCAGTGACTTGATAAGAACATCAGCTACTTGCTCATTGGTCCCACAATGCTTCATTGCTATTGTTCCTTCAGCGACCAGATTTAGAATGAAATGATAGCGGATGTCAATGTGCTTTGTTCTGCTGTGGAAAGCTGGATTTTTCACCATAGCGATTGTTGCCTTGTTGTCACAAAACACTTGAGTTGCACTTTCTTGAACTTGGCAAAGATCAGTTAACAATCTCCTTAGCCAAACTGCTTGACAAACTGATGCCATTGCAGCAACATATTCTGCTTCTAATGATGACAAGGCCACTATCTCTTGCTTCTTTGAACTCCATGAAATAACACCCGAACCAAGGGAGAAAACATAGCCGAAAGTGTTTTTTCTATCATCCAAACAACCTGCCCAGTCACTGTCAGTAAAACCCAAAAGTTTGAAATCTGATACTTTTGAGTACCAAATTCCAAAACCAACAGTTCCAACAACATAACGAAGGATCCTCTTTGCTGCCCCGAGGTGATGCATTGTTGGGCTATGCATAAATCTAGAAACAACGCTGACAGAGAATGCTATATCAGGCCTTGTGTGAGACAAGTAGTTCAAACCGCCAACCATACTTCTAAAATACCTCGCACTCGCCATTCCGGTGCCATCATTAGCTACGAGTGTCTCATTCACATTCATGGGAGTTGGAGCTGTTTTAAAGTTTAACATATTGAACCATTTCAACAAATCATTAGCATATTTTCTTTGAGAAATAAAAATCCCATCTGCACTTTGGTTCACCTTCAAACCAAGAAAATAATGCAACAAACCCAAATCTGACATCTCGAATTTTTTCATCATGCAAGATTTAAATTCCTCATCAAGAGACTCACAAGACCCCATATAAATTATGTCATCAACATAAAGACACACCACCAAAAATTCAGAGTTACCTCGCTTCTTCACATAAAGCGTTGGCTCATTTTTACTCCTTTCAAATCCATTCTATTAAAAGTAGGAGTCGATCTTGCTATACCAAGCTCGTGGGGCTTGCTTTAGGCCATATAAAGCCTTTCTTAACCTGTAAACTTTGCTGTCATCGCCACTAACAAAACCTTCAAGTTGAGAAACATACACCTCTTCATCTAGTTCTCCATTCAAAAAGGCGAATTTAACATCAAACTGGTACACAACCCAAATTAATTGTGCAGCCAAGGCTAGAAAGGTTCTCACCGTTTCAAAGCGAGCAACCGGAGAAAAGGTTTCTTTGAAGTCAACACCTTGCTGCTGAGAATACCCTTTTGCCACCAACCGAGCTTTGTGTTTCTGTATAGGATCGTCAGCATGATACTTTGTTCTGTACATCCACTTG